CTATAAACATTACAACGTAACGTTTTTATTGAATAAACTTATATAAAGAGAAAAATGAATATTTGCGTGAAAATCTATGATGACCGAAATTGTTGATATATGTACAAAAACTATCTACATAAAAAGGTATTAAGATATTACTATTAAAATTTATTCAGTTATTACAATCATCAATTACAATTGAAAATACACAGCAACAAAAATATTATTTATCAATATTTTATTCCTTGTACTACTGGATTGCAAAATTTGCTTATTCAAATAAAATATACAAAACTGTATATAAATCCAAAAAAATCTTTTTTTTTCATGTGGTATATTGTAACCTATTATACCTGAATATTATCACAATATCATACTAGCACCACATATTTTTTTAAAATATAAAATAAAATCGGCCTCTCACATTTTAATCTCTATGCAGTGATATTTTTGAATTTTTATAATTGTGGTCTACCACCGCACCAAACAAATATGAAGTATTAATAAATGGAAAAAGCTTCATAAATCCTACGTAGTATTACCTACGCAGGTTTATAAATATCAGGATTCATTTAAAATTTATACATTTCGTTAGTCTAAAATAAACACAATTTGAAATAAATGAAGTGTTTTGTATTAAGGTTGATAGAACAAGAGTTATTTTGCAAGTAAATAGATGTATTTACGGAAATAGGTGGGTTGGATTCATAAATAGATGGAATGTTTGGTAGGTGTAATTTTCAGGTGTCCTGTATATATTTTTAAAGATTGATGGCATTCTGCTTATTTTTAGTTCGGAGCTTCATTTTAATTAAAATTTTATCCGGGACATTTAAGATTAAAGTGGATAACGTATAGAACAATATTTTGATTCGTAATAGAGTAATCTCCTAAATTAGTTAGCAACTTAAGATATTTTGTAAGTTGCAAAACTAATTCTAAGGCTAAATTTCAATATTAATAGTAAACTTAAATTTAAATAACCCCAATATATTGTTAAAAATATTGGAAGCACAATAAAAACAAAATACCCCTATAATGCTTTTTTAAAAATATATGTTTCTAGAATGCATATTTGAATATATAAGTTAATGTAAATTAAAATTACATACCTTGTACGCCAACATAGTGTGCTTTCTTGACTGAAAAAAAAAGAAAATATCATTAGATAATTGAATTAAACTTTAAATATTAAATATTTATATTAAAATATTTATTTATATATAAAAGGTTCTGGGGATATACGACAGAAATGAATAGATCTATGTTATCAAGTTTGATAATATTTTTACGGATTTTCTAATTATTAATTATGCAAATTTCATAAATTATATACTGATGATGAGAAATAATAACTACCTATAATTTTTAAAATAAAGTTAGTGCAACAATATAGAGTGTAGTTTAATATTATTTTCATTAATACATCTATATATATATATATATATATATATATATATATATATAAATCAAAAATAAAAACACTTATAAAAATCTTATCAAAAATGATTCGTTAAATACTCATTATTGTTTTGAAAAGATGAAAATTGTAGGTATTAAATGTAATAATATTTAGTGATGTGAATTGCAGGTACTAAATTTTTATATATTTCTATTCTATACATATATACACATGCATAATAAGTATAAAAATATAAGTAAAATAAATATTTTTACAAAAACCACTGTTCAAAAAATCTGACGTTAATCTGGCTTATATTTATATATAGAATTCACATATCGCAAGTAGAATTCCGAATATTTCAGTACATCGGCTATTATTACAGCCTGGTATTTATAATAATTTTGTAATGATATTTGTAACAATTTATATAATAATATTTATAATAATTCAAAATTAACAATTATTTCAAATTTCTAAAATAATAATGTCCTCAATTAATTATAAATTTTTAACATTAAAAGAAGATTTACTTGATGAGTCAAGCGATTACTTGGAAAAAAATTCACAAGAAGAATTTTATAAAATCTTTTAGTACTATTATTTGTTGGAATGAATTTCATTTTTGCACACATACTTGAATGTGATTATAATTCATAAGTAAACAAAATATTTATATAAAACCAAAAGCTCAACAAACCTGACGTTAACAAATATTTATACAAAACCACTTTTCAACAAATCTGACGTTAATCTGGCTTACAAAATATTTATGGGTAGATTTTACACAAATTCTAAATCCTCTCAGAACGATGGGTAAACTTTACAATTTCAATACGATATCTAAAAAAACTTTTGATATTTCGTATACATTAGTATACTATCTATACATTAGTTGTGAATTCTTGACATAAGAATTCGAAAGTATCGAATAAGTGATCAATAAATAATTTTACATTAGGAATTTCATGAGAATTCAAAAACACATTAATCTATTGGTACAAAATCCGAATAACAGTGAATAAAATCTATGCAAAATGTTTTTCTAATACTCAAAAAAAAACTATAATAAATATCATTGTCATACATGTGCTACATCTCATATATAAGCATATTCCTAGGTTGAAGTCTTTATAGAAAGACAAACTTAAAGTAAATTGTAATCCGTAGAACATACTGAATCATCTTCAAAATGGTAGATAACCCAAGAAGATGATTTATCATCTTCATTTTTCTACTGCAATTTTTACGATTCATCTTTCCGCCACGACTACATACGCCGCAGTATTAAAACCGCGTCTGAAGTATGAATAATTGTCCCAAAGATTTTATTTCTCTCGCCAGAGCGGTTGTAAATTGCGGCATTAAATTTTGATGACTCAAGCGAAATGTGGTATATGTGATGCGTTTAATTCATAAAATTTCTTTTTAAAAACAGGCGTATTCTCGTAAATAATAATGATTTATTGGTTTATATTTGATGAGTAAAGTTGTGTTGAAAATCAACAATTATACGAATATGTTTGAAATGAAATGTTATAATCCAATATCTGTTTATATTAAAATTACTAAAAACTGGAGCTTGTGAAATCATAGACTTTGTTAGGTGTTAGATAAATAGAGATTTAGAGACCGATTATGTCGCATAACTGGCCAATATTATGGCAAAGCCATGTCACGCTCCAACTTCCGTACATTATGCTACTGAATCATACTCAATACTGCCAAAGTGTAATGTATTTGCTATGCATTCAGGCGTTTTACATAGTTTTGTATAATAAACTGCAGCGTCGCTTGTATATTATGAAGCTGTTTCAGAAAGACCCTGTTATTTAAGACCGTTTGCTGACATTTGTGCGGTTTCTAGGTTAGGATTTCTATCTGACAACCTGAAAAACTGACTGCACATGGCTTTTGTCAATATGTTTTATGAAAACTTTTTCATAACATGACCTTGCCATAACATTTTTCTGTTTGCGGCAGAATCGATCTATTAACTTTCATTTTCTTCATTCAGAGTAGACTTATACAATAATTATAATATGATCTTATAGTTTTGTGAATTAAACAAAATAACTTGATGTGAGTGTCATTTTGCCTCATGTCAATTTGCATGAATTTTCCGATGAGTGTAAATAACCGATTCAATCAATATTTTTAACTTCCCGTAGGGTAAGTTATAGTAATCGCAAAAAAATCGAAAATGAAAATTTTTATATATCTTTACGTTTCAGAGGTTTCTGAACATTTTGGCATACCTTAGAAAAAATGGATGTATGTGTGTGTGTGTGTGTGTGTGTGTGTGTGTATGTACGTGTGTGTATGTATGTGCGGATACAAATTTTCGTCGACGATTTCGGGAACACGGATCAACCGATTTGAATAATTCAAAAAATATTCGATTCGTATTGATAAGGAGACGTGCTGATTAGTTTTTGGCGAAGGCAGGTCTAGCCGTTCCGAAGATACGGGGCAAAAAGTGCCGAAAACGGTAACTCAGTTTTAAAGAGAACGGAGCGTCCGATTTGAATAATTCAAAAAACATTTCACTTGTATTGACAAGGTGAAGAATCGATAAATTTTCATGAAGGTAGGTCTAGCCGTTTCGGAGATATGGAGGAAAAAGTAAAAAAAATGAGCCATTTGGCGGTCAAAAATGATCATTAGACATATGCACATCAAATTATCAGATATTTTATAGAGATTTTAACAATAAGTATAAATTTTGTTCACATTCCTATGGGTTCCGTACCAGTGCTTATCCGTTAGACGGCGGCGCGGCACTTGCGCGCTTCGATATTTCGTCTCTATGCAGTTCAAGCAGTGCGATTGCTTTGAAAAAAAGTTCAGAATTTCCAAAATATGTCAAAATGAAGAAAACATTTTTTTTCAAAAAATTTTTTCGTATTCAAAAAAAAATTTTTTTTCTCAAAAAAAAAATTTTTTTTTTCAAAAAAAAGTATTTTTTCATCATATTTATAGTTTCTCAAAAATCTATTTTTTTCGAAGTAAATTTTTTTCAAAAATGTTAATCGTTTTAAAAAAAAAAAAAATTTTTGGTACGGGAAGTTCCAGCAATTTGCCTTAAGGCACGATGCCCTAATTGCCTTAAGACAGAATTCCACTTACAGCTAGTTTATTATCAATAATTCACCTGCCTCTTTGTTTACCTGTCTGCCTATTACCGCCTACCTGTTTACCTATCTACCAGTCTGCCAAACCACTGAATTTTCTGTCTGCCTGTCTACTTGTCTGCGTATCAGAATATTAAACTGTCTACCTGTATACTTGTTTATCAACTCACAATGTACAGTTTTTTCAGTCTACCAGTCTGTCTAAATCCTTGTTCTCTACTTTTTTATCTGATAAGCTGTTTACCTTAACTGTCTTGATACCTACATGCCTGTTTACCATTTATAACAATCATTTTTCTTATTTATCGATTTGTATTTTTCTCCTTAATTTCCATCTGTTTACCCGTACACCTGTCTACTTATTTACCGAAACTTTCATCTGTATATGAATCAATAAAAATGAATTTTAAAGATCAACAAATGTCAACGTTTGCATCACCAAAACCGCTGGACCTGGCTTTACACAATTGTAATTTTTACTCATTCAGTCAACACAAGTAAAATATTGTTTAAAACACTCAAAAAATATCTCAAGAATACGGAATTGTAGCACTAAATATATTTTTTTATACTTTTATAACTCATGGCTAGTATAGGTTATCAAATTTATTATTATTACTCTGTTCAAAGCTCTTTTTATATATTAATCTTTAACAAAATCTGATCACTATTATTCACTAGCATTTTGATACACCATTGTTTAAAAGCCATGCTATTGAGGCTCGTGTGTGACTACGGATAACCATGTTAGTGATGAATAATTAAATATATTACGTAACCATTAGTAATTATGAATACCGTTATCTTCTTATATATAAAAATAAGTCGAGTTTTCCTTCCTGAAGAAATAACTCCAGAACTGAGTTAACCAGAATTCGTTGGAAAGGTCTCGGGATCCGCAAGGTTTATAGCTAAGCAAACTTCACGCACCATAATTAAAAATTCGAGTAATGACATTAGTGAGAATTATCAGAATTATGCTTCGTTAAGTCAACGAGCAATTCTTGCCGCAAAGAATAATGATGTACACGTACTGAATATCACCATTCAATCAAAAATTGCTGGCAATTTGGTGACATAGCAATGATTCCGACTGGTCTTCCGTTTGACTTCGAACGATTGCAATATCCAGTTCGCCTTGCGTTCGCAATGACAACTAACAAGTCGCAAGGCCAATCGCTTAGTGTTTGCGGGATAAATTTCAAATAGATTATTTAGAAAATCATTATTTTTCACATGGGCAGTTATACGTTGCCTGTTCACGAGTTGGAAAACCATCCGCTTTGTTTATGTTAACGTCAGACCAAAAAACAAAAAATGTGGTTTACCAAAGAGCACTTCAATGAAACGGATAATTTGCGGATTCACTTTCATTTACTTAGAGAAGTTCAACTAAAAAATACTTCATTTTTATAATCGAAATAAATTCATTACTGTTGTGCAATAAAATCAAATTTTACCTTTTCAAATATAAAACAAACAAAAAATTTCTTCATCTTTCTCACGAAACCATCTGGTGGCGACACGAAGTTAGTCAGGTTTACTAGTCATTAATAAATATCGTTCGTATTTATAAGTAGCACGTAGTGTCTAAAAATATATATATCCATATGAGAGTGTATATTTATATAACAATTTTGAAATTATCCAAGGTTAGTTCCGCAACCTTGTACCTAAACATCATGCATTATTCTCCGGCATCCAAATTAATTTACTTTGTAAATTAATTCAACTTTCCTAATTACAAAAAGCTCCTTCGACCTTTTTTAACCAAATCCCCGGAGCTGGAAAGTCGCATTCTCTACTTACTCTCTCTCCTCTACTGCGCACCCGTACCCCCGTACCCGTGTGTGTCATTTGTATTTTGCGTCCGTTTAATCCGCGGCGGTTTACTAACAATATACGATGATTAGAACCAGGATTAAAACTCAACTCATCGCCGCCTATCTATCCCGGTTGATCCCGCCTAACGATTGCGACAAATGCGGAAATTATACACCAAAGGTGACAAGCTATGATACTATGCTGCATAATATTATATAATTGACATAATTAATTGTACTGACTGAGTAGGCCATAGACTTTTCTCTCTGGGGTAACATCTATTTTTTGTTTGATCTAAATAAAGATTTTTTATTTGGTTCATTTTACAGAATATCTTGAAGATTAAACTATGCGGCCAATTCTCGGATAGTGAGTTGCTGGTCACCAACTGTCAAAAAACTATGAATTTGCTATGCGATCAAGCGATTTAGACGTAACACCTATCCTGCAAAAGGCACAAATGACAAATAATATTTTTTTCATATGTTTGATAACATAACGTTTTTGATTATTTTTTATTTTGTTATAATACGTGTATGAACATACATATAAACCTTTTTTACCCCATTTTTATCCTCTCACCACAAACCTCTATGTAAGAATTATTGTAGCAATTACATCATTTTTCATCTCGATTTTTGTTAAATGCTTTGCATTTTGTTAAAAATTGTAATTATATGTATAACACACAATTGTGTATAGCTAATTATGTAAAGTTATGCATATACGACAGTGTGTGCACAAGAGAATAGTTTATTAGTATTTACCAAATGCATGTCTCAGAAGAAAACATTCTCATGATTCGTTCTCGATTTCCTTCGGACTCCAGCCATTATATTATTACCGACGTTTATAAATTGTTAGTGAGTAACCATTGCCGACTTAGATAAATAGCGGCATTCGTCCTGCACCTGCTCTCTTCGCATACGATTCTGGCATGATTCTGCGTGAGAGGAGTGCCGAGAAGGGTCAGAAGTTGCTTAATGAAATACTTTGCATAACTCAGCCTGGCAACAAGCGTGAAATGCGAAATGGGCATTATGAACATTCTGCGGATTTCGGCTCAAGGAAATCTTCATTAGGACGGAGAAGTTACTTTGGAGAATTAATCGTGTAAATGCGTGTTAATCATTCTCCATACATGAGGCAGTGTTATCATTTGGATAAACTAAATATCATTGATATATAAAATACTTATTGAATAATTAGTTTTACTAGTGTAATTGTTTAAAAATTGAAATTGAAAATTTCTGCATATCGTCACGTTTTGAAGGTTTCTGTACATTTTGACATACCTGATTATTAGAAAAAATTGATGTATGTGTATGTATGTATGAATGGATGCAATTATTCGCCCACGTTTTCGGGCGCATAGAAAGCATTCGATTTCTATTGGGACATGTGCTCATTAGATTTTGGCAAAGGCAGGTTCAGTAGTTTTCGAGATACAGAGCAAAGAGCGCAGAAAAAATGTTTTGAGTTTTTAAGAGAACGGAGCATTTTATTTAAATGATCCAAAAAAATCAATTCACGTCACTTGAAATTTGAATATAGGTTAAATTATTAGTCTCATATACTATATTCATGATTGTGAATAAGAAGAATGTAATGTCTACTTTGACAATAAACTTTTGCGGAATTAACTTAGGAAATCACTCACATGAATGTACATGCATTCCGGTACAGACAGTAGTTGCAAAATCGTTAATGAATATTTTTGACTAAATGGTAAAAATAGGTTATATAAAAAAATTGATCTTTGAATTGTACACGTGAGTTACACAGGATACACAGGACAAGCTGTCGGGTCAGTTAGTATATATATATATATATATATATATATATATATATATATATATGTCACAGCTTCATTTTCGAGAACATATTCTTTAGTCCCAAGACTAAATTTTACCTGATTTTGTTCACGTCCGACGTATTTATACGTCTCGCTCGTTTAACACTTGAGTGCGTTTTCTTCGCATATTTGCAATATAATTTGTCAGTTACTTTAATTCAATGGAGAAATGCTTTCTAGAACTTCTCATTTAGATGATTGCTCAAAACTTATGTATTTGTAAGCAACATTGAGAATTGTTGAACACTGAAGTTATATGCATTCTTGTTTTATTTATTATCATGTTTTCAGTTAAATGTTTGATAAGATCCATAGTTAAAACTATGGGATTTCAGCTAGAATTGTAGGTAGAATTACCAGATTTCAGGTAAAATTGCCAATATTCGTCTCGGGCAGTATGATGTTGATTAGTAGTGAAGACTGTTTTTATTTGTAATTATAAATGGCAATGTGTTTTTAAGTAAAAATAGCGTCTACCAGCATCTTACTAAGCATTTCCGCATCAATAAAAAATAATTAGTATTACAGAAATTGTAGTCATAAAATTCATCATATGAAGATAAAACTGTTCGGGTTGTCATCTAAAACAGTCCTTTAGTTCTGATTGCTGTTCAAATAATATACAAAAAACGGCGAGTTTAATGAAAAATTTAATATAAATTTTTAACAATTTTGAACAAATTATATTCGATTTCCAGTAATTGAATTCTATACTGCCATTGTCTGTAGTATTTGTATTTTGGATTATTTATCGACATTTGTTGTTTGACTATGTGATTAATAATTGTGCGTTTGACAAGCGGTTTGGTATTCAAATAATGATCTGTCAATCAGCAGAGCAAACTCGCGGAATCAATATTTAATGTACATAAGGTTTTCGTATATTTTGCGTGGTAAATGAAATTTCTATTTCCTCAGGATATGCCATTTACATTCCTCGAAAAGAGCAAATCTGTTGATTAATAAATAAAGGATAAAATAAATATTGTTATGGTACGATATTTAAACTTATTTTTTATCCATTCAGCATGTATTGTCTTACATGTTCTTATGTACAAATAAAAGTGTATATGTTGTTATCGGTTGTGTAAATTGGAAGTAACCTGCTCGGTTACCAGGTTAAATAATCAGATATCAAATTACATATTATCTGATTTTTTTCAAGTGTATAAACTGATACATTTTTCCAACATATTACATTTTAGAAGGACGTCTCATACGTTTTCAGCATGCGTCGTCGACTAGACATCTAATATAAGAGAACACATGTCGTCTTACATACATCTGCAGTGTCCGATTTATAAAAGACAAACATTGGGTTCTCTTAGAGCACAAACAATATGTAATGAAAAATACTAAATTGAAGAAGATATTGAAGTGAAATTACTTTAAATTAAATGCAATATTATATATCTTCAATTTGATAAAGTAGTAATTAAATTCATTTTATATCAGACATGAAAGTTTTTCTAGATAAGCTGACATTATATTTGAGATATCGCAGGACGTAGATTCAGTTAAAAACTAATTTAGTAGTAGCTAGGAAACCTGGTATTGTAATTTTTCCAATCTTCGATAAAATAAATCGTTAAAAAATACATATTATTTTTACAG